AGGCGGGGGGAGCGGGCCGAGAGCCAGCCAGAGGGGGAGGGCATCGTACCGGGGCCTGCTTCTCTAATTAACATCCGCCACACTGGGAGAGACGCCCAGGCTGCACAATTTGGATGTAAAACTGGAAGAGCTCTGAAGCTGGAAATGTTCACATACAGGCTCTTCATTTATGCCTAGTCTTTTTTATAGGTCACGCAGAGATGACTTAATTGCTCTTACTGTAATTTACACTTAGCAATACAGTGATTTTTTTGTATGTCATATTGCATAGCTGAGCCATACTCCAAACAAAGTGGCAATGTTTAATAGTAAGTGGTATTTTTTCAAGAAAGATTCTTCCCCTCGAGTTCCTCTCTTTCGGGTGAGGAAAGAGGCCTCTAATGCCACTGGCAGAAAAGAGTGAGATTATTTTGACCAGATCTGGGCATTGTGTGTCACAGTTAGTGGTTTCTTTAACTCCTGTGAACTTCTGGCTCACCTTCCTGCACAGGACTCACCAATGCAAGTTCAAATGATTAACCTGTTTCATTACCAAAATACTGAATTCTTGGCATATCCTTGAAAGCCACTGTTAAACTCTTGCAATTTCAATATCAAGTCACTCACTCTACAGAAGGTTCTCTACATAAGAATTGGATTAAAAATAAAAATCCAGTCCTTACTGTGGACTTTTCATCAGCACAACACATAATACTCAGCAAATCATGCTGTTTGCTGACAACAGGAAAGGATGGAGATTGCAATATTATATTTATTAAAGTGAGATGCTAAGGCATGTAACATCACTCTCAAACATCCTAAATGGCCTGTAAACAGCACCTCTACTAGGGTACCAAGCACTAAGGCTTCTTCCAGTTCCTAGCAGGGCACTTACATCCTCTACATCCTAGCCTAGAGATAAGACAGCCCAGGGAAATGAGACATTGAGTAGTATTACAAGGTACAGAGGTATTTGAGAGCTGCAGAAACCCTAGAAAGTAGTATGTTGCTAGTGTTCCTTTTCTGGAGCTTTGGGGAGTACAAGCAGGAGAGCAAGTGGGCTACTGATAAGCCTTCCTCAGCCACAAGTTTCCAAAAGCCAACCTCACCTCGCTGTGGAGCCACATATGAGTCTGACTTATTGCAGTCCTCACAGCAAGGACAAAACCCATGGCTTCTCTGGCCAGATTCTGCAAATGGAACTCTTTGTCCCTCTGCGCTACTTCTGGATCTGTCTGCAGCCAGCTTGTTTGGCTTCTAGATGACATGTAACAGTGATACTGTGCCTCCATGCTGATGTATTTCAGAGGAGTGAAAACGTTTTCCAAAACTTGGAAGAGGAGAGCTCTACATAAAAGTGAAGTCTTACGAATAGCCCTTTTGCCCCAAATACTCTTCAGAAGAAGAAAGACTTTTATGGCACAGCACTGCTTCATGTGCATCCTACTAACTTGGGCACACCTTCCTTTTGTTGGTCTTCAGTTCTGACATTGCAGTAGATAATGAGCAATGTAGGAAGTAATGCAAATCAAATGACTTAATTTTAATGTGGCGTCTGCTTCCTGCATTGATCCAGCAGTGAAAAAATACTGCTTTTTTACAACAGCTCTTCAGGCTGCTTGTGACAGACCTCTCTGCTCTCTCTCCTCATGCTTTTAAGGAAGGCGAGGTGGCCGCTTGCTGGGTCACTAAGACCGCTTTCAAAGCAGGGCCAAGTGGTTTTACTGGCTAAATGGCTTTACTGCCATTCTTTGCCATATAACAATTAAGGGCCACATATCACTCTTGAGACAACAGAAGCATCCTGCTTAGATTAATGCAGTTTCAGACAGCACTGTGAACAATCATGTAGATTAATGACATATAATTAGGACACTATCTTAGAATCCCTTTGGCATGAAACAGGCTAGCTTTTCTTCTGGAGATTTTTCTACCACATTCTATCACACGGGTTTTGGCTATGCTTGTCTCAACATATTCATTTCTAATAGAGTAAGAGGCTTGATTCGTAAGGGAAAGTTTTTGATTAATTGTGTTTGTTATATTAGCATGAAGGAGGAGGGTTTTTTGAAAGTATTTACAAAAACAGCATTTATCCAGCACAACATTTGCAATCCAAAAGCATCAGTGAGCTGCTTTGCAGGCAATGCAGAAGGGGATTGCTTTATTACCAGCTGAAAGTAAATCCACTGTTAAAGTAAATATGCAGTAGCAATGCCACCTAACAAAGGGGACATGAATAATAACTTTTCTAATTTAAGCTGAATGTGGGAGGATATAGCTAGGCAGCAAAAGAAGCTGGAAACCTATTTTCAGTGTGATTCATAGAGACTTTCAGTAGTTGCTTGCACAGGTAAATTATAATAGTTGGCATTTACATATAGCTTTTCACTTATTAAAATCTGATGGGTTTAGGGCCTTTGGCAAATGAAATGCTGAAGCACAACAAAGTTAAACTGGCTGATTGTACTGACTGTGTCAAGTGTTGGTTTTCAGACAGAACTGATCCACTGATTCTGCAAAATACTGTTCACCTTTAAGTGGCAAATTAATTGTGAGATGAACGGAACTGCTTACAGAAGCTAGGGGAGGACTTTAGTATCGCTGGAATTATACCAGTATTGTTCATGGCTTATGAAAAATAACCAAAAGGATGTACTAGTACTTTACACTAAGGTTCCAAAAGGATGTACTAGTACTTTACACGAAGGTTATTTCTTTGTTCCACACTCCTTTGTTACCAATAACGTCTAAAATCCCTCCCTACCTACACATTTACCAAGACAGAGGGAGTTCCCCGTTGCCAATACATTTCCAACCCCTTTCTCCTACATTTTTCTTCTCATTCCATATTACACAACTAGATTTGACAACACTTTTTCTTAACAGCATTCAAAATTAGGTGTGCTGACATAAGAATAGAAAGCAAGAATAATCCAAACGATGTCCTCAAAGCTCTACTACATACTACAAATGACAGCAGCGTTTGGCCCAACACTAATGTAAAGTGACTCTGAAACAGTGCTGACACATCGAAAAAAATTAGAAAGCCAACTGTCATTTCCAAGCAGTACTTTCCACATTCTTTGGCCTTATATAGATTTTGTTATCACTGTTTCTGTTAGCAGTAATGTAAAAATAATTAAAAAAAAAAATTAAAAATAAACTTCCATACCCGTCTGTCCAGAGGACTACTCCCCCCACCAACCACCTGCCACCCCAACGAAAAAAAAAAAAAATTTCTGGTGGCTGTCCACTCAGAAATTTGTGTACAGCTGCTCCAGGACTGTGTATTATCAAAACATTAGTTTGTTGCTTAATTCATAAACATTAACTCAAAGCAACAATTTACTTCTACTTGCAACTGATATAAATTTTGACCGGGCATTTTTAGGTTAATGCTGTATTATTTCAATACCAATTAAATACTTTATACTAAATGTATGTAATTGGCAATAATAGACATTTTAAATTCATTTCATGTCCTTTGGAAGCAATTTTATTGCAGCACTGTAGAATACCAAGATTACAGGCTGTCGGTATCATCCTGTAGACTTTCACACTACATAACATTCTCCAATGAAGAAGAGACATGTTCATGAATAAGAATTTATTAGTGGAAGGGGTCTGCAGTAAAATATTACAGCACAAAACTAAACATGGCTATATGTTAAGTCCAAAGTGTACATTTTACTTCTTAAAAGTGCACAACCAAGCATCTTTTAAAAAAAAAAAACAACCAAAAAAGGAAACTCCCCCTCTCCCAACAAAAAGAAAAGCTCTAAAGTAACAAAAAAGGAAATGGTAGAAACCTGTATTTTGGGCAAACCAAGAGAGCTTCAAAAAATTTTAATAGGCACCTACGGTGGCTTCTGGAATCACTGTTGCATGCATGTCTCTAGTCATATTGGATTTCTCTTTCAGCTTTGACTGGAGTAACGTGTGTTCCATTACACCAATTTGTATGTCCATCTGAATGGTTTCTTGCTTCAGTTTTGTTAAGGCCTGTTTAATCTTCACTAGAGGAGCTGTTCAAAAAACAGACAAACAGTGCAACTCTGTGTCAGCTACTTAACACAAAAGCATTATTTTCTATAATTCACTCCTTCAAATTGAAGGGATGAATGAACAAAAGTGTATTTTACGCTAAAGACTTGGTTGTACTGATACATCATTTTTAATATGCAAGACACTTTAAAGATAGAAATAGGCAATGACAATGTTGCTTTCTTCTTGACATCTAAGATCTGCATGAAGATGTGCATCATCATTAAGATAGGTTTGTCAATGATGTCAGTGATGCTTAGCTGAAAGCCTCATCCTGATACCTGACTTGGGGTTTGGTAGAGAACAGAAGACACCTTCAGCAGGGTGTCATCTGACCCTTGAAAAGCTCTTAAAATGTTCTGTGCTTCACATTTTGTTTCTAATCCCTGACTTCCCACTGATATCACCCTAGGAATGCTGCTGCTGCGTTGTATTGCTCCTTATAATTCTGGGCTCTAGATTTTATCATGACCCTTGGCCATGGTCTAAAACAGAAGAGGTGTTGCGAGGTAGGTGAGCAGCTCCTTGACAGTGAAACAAGGGTACACAAAATTTCCTTAAACAGTAACACTTACAGCTACTTAATTAGCTGTTACGGATACAGCTAAGCAAGGATACAGCTTGCATATTTAGCCATACTGTAACAGGTATCTATTTATTTCTGCGTTCATAACCATCATACATTTGCCACAGAATGCATTTATCAGGAAAAATCTCCAACTACCAAATTCTGAGTCTAAGACAAATTCATTCAACTGGGTATGTAGTTTTAAATATTAAAACCATGAAAATTAATTTTCTCACCGACTCCAGCCAGCCTTAGTCAGGGAATCTAACAGCTACTGCCAGTAACTATTTCAGAGCAGAAGGGCTTGAACCTGTAATATGTGCATTTCTTCTAGTGGTCAAAGCAGAGACAAAATGCACTGTTTGGTTTTATTTTCAAGATTTCTACAAATAATTTACCAACAAGTAAAATCCTGGAATCTCTACCTTCTTCAGACTTACATAACCTTTTCAAAGATGTTTACACTTCTGATTTTCTTAGATACTTTTTAAATTTCAATACTGATAGTTTAGACCAATCCCTCGTTCTTGTCTTGTTTTGTTTTTCTTTAATAAAGAACAAATCATTTACCTCTCTTGGGAAAATGGGTGTTTGGTTTGAGTCAAAAACATACTTACCACCATCGGTCATACTGTTTCCTTTCTCTTCCATTTCCTGCTTTACTCTTTCTAATACTTCTGTAATCTTAAAATAGAGATTCTTTTCTTAATTAAACCAGATTAATCTCAAGTTAAAAAAAGAAAACTAAAAATTCTCTGTTGAATAACTGCATTAGTTGAAAAAAATTATCAGCGTAAATCAATGGCAGACTGGTTTTAAAATTCACGGGCTGGACTAGATTACCTCCACAAACAGATTAATTTTTAACCCAGAAAGAAATGAGTTCATAAAACTGCAAACACTAAAAGCCAACTCTCTGAAGACTGTTATAAAATAAGCAAAAGAAATTATGCACAGATGTGCTTTACCTCAGAAAGCACTCTAATCCTTTCAGTTAGTCCTCCGCTGCCCTCCTGGTACTTCTCCTTAGCCTGGAATGAAACATGTTTTTTGCCCTAATGACAAAGCTGAAGACATGTATTTGAGATGGCTCAGAAAGAACACCAAAATTTGCTCTCACGTGTCCCGATTCTAGAAACTGTCCCACAAAGTCCCAGTGGTGTTTACAGCACTACATGTATGAGGTCAGGTGTGAAAGATAAGCCACTGTAGTGACTATCATTCAAAAATTTAAAGCAGTTTTAAAAATTATAATAGCCCTATGCACAAGAAGTATGCTTTCTGATCATTTACACGAGGAAGTAAATAAAGAAAATTTGCCAGAATGCAGAGAGAATCAAACCCTGAAACTAAGAAGATTTCTTCATCAACAGTACAATATTGCCTTGAAGTTTCTTAAAGCTCAATAGGTAAACAGAAAGCATACAGGTCAAATCCTGTCAGGCTTCTTTCAAACACCATGCCCACAAATAGGAGGGCTAGCCAAATGGCAGCTTAGACAGCCCTCCTAACTAGGCAATCAAAAAAGATTCTCAAGCACCTTATTGGCATAAAAAGTAAAGGAGTAATCAGAGTGCTTTGTGCATATTAGCACGAGTAATCAATATAAGAGATGAGTGATGGACTGAGACTGTAGTTTCTCCACTCATCACAGATGTATAAACTTCACTGAGAAGGCAGAACTAGCAATTTACTAGCTGCTCAAGACTGGCAACAGATTTACATAACATTCAGGCAAAACCCATTTACTTTCCCTTGTAGAATAGTTGAATAAAAATTGCTAGTTTAGCTTAAAAACGATATAATTTGTCAGCAAATCAACATTTCCTCTGCTTTATATCCAACAGCACAATTCACAGATAACTGTTCCTACTCCTCTCTGTCTTCACCTTCACTTAATAGCAAGTTAATACTAGAGAAGGCAAACCCAAAAGATGGGTGTGTTACCTCACTCAGCAAGGCCTGTGCTGAACGGTACTCTTGAACCAAGTGCTCCAACTGACTGTTGATGTACTTTTCCCTGCTATTGATCTTTTCCAGTGTCCTGCTGATTTCATTTTGGAGTTTGTCAAGGTAGCCCTAGAAAATCATATTCTGTGGGTTGACAGTATACAGATAGTATGCAAAGAGTATAAAAATGGTGTAAATAAGGATATGGTAGCCTACAAGTGAGAGAGGAGAAACAGTACAGAAATGCTGCACTTAACCAACAAAAAAACAGATAAGTGAAATATTCTGCACATACCCTAGTTTCTTTCAAAGAAGATTCAATTTCATCCTTATGCTGATGCATTTGATCTACATGAATCCTCCAGTCCTAAAAAAGATGTCAGAAAGTAAAACATAGGCAAGTAAAACCTTTTCTCTGGTTACTAAATAAAGGCTGGCAGGCAAGGCAGGGTCAGTTCTCTTTTATACTATTGCTGTGTATCATTTTGTCACTGCCATGTTCATATCCAGAGGCATTTGCTTGATGTAACACAATTTATAAATCTCCTAAATGTAACACATGACACTCAGATGCATGAACAAACACTGACATCCTCACTGACACCACAGTAGCTGTGCTTTTTAGAGCCTGTTTGATCTTCACGGAACTGTTTCTGCTAGAAACCACTCTGGGCACAAACACTGAAGGTATTGATTATAGCTGCACTAGCTCAGCTCATTCTTAGACAAACCAAGTGCTTCAAATGCCCAATACCTGCCAGTTCCAGACTAGCAGACCTTCCCTTTCTGCTTAGCCCTTACTATTATCAGAAGAACAGAAAGAAATGCAAGAAGCAGAAATACCTAAACTTGTTTTTGAATGTAGGACAAAATCAGGAGGTGGAAAATTACTTGCAGCTTCTAGGTCGCAGGAAACATGCATGGACTCGGGGTGGGTGATGAGAAAAGGTGCTGTTTTAACTTTACAGGTAGGCATTAGAAATGAATTCCTGTTCCCAAGCTTTATCACCAATTTTTTTCTTATCAATGCAAACTTTTTACATCTCCCAGACTCAAGGCACAGCTGCAGACAGACGGCGAGTTCAGAACGAAGCAGAGTAGCAGCACTGTGGGATTACTCCTATTTCAGTGCTGGGTTTCTGAACGTGCTAAAAAAAAATATTGTAAAGATTTTTAAGCTTTTGGCACTGTACTGATCTAGGTGTTAAAAAAAAAAAAAAAGTGATGTCAATAAATCTTTATCACTTAAACCTTAGGAGATTTTCTTGTGAAATAAGTACTGTAAGGATAGGTGGAAGGTGACAGTGTTTGCTTCAGTAAGATTACCTGATCAAGGACCTTGTCAAAAAGGATGCTAAGCAAAACACAGAGAGGCACCAACCCAACCAACAAACAATAATAGAGGCAGTAACAAGAAATAAACCTGGGCAGTTACACTAATGGATAAGGGCAGTGCAGTGTGAGAATGTTTGTATCAGTACAATTACCTTACTGAGAATCTTCTCAAAATGGAATGATAAGGAAAAGGTAGAGGGAAACCCCAAACCTATGGAGACACAGACTTGTTCTTGTCTTCATTAGTGCTTGTCTGACAAGAAAGAAAGCTCATCAGTCACACCAACTGATGGGCTATGAAGAAACTGCAAACATGACTCCAAAGAAGGTGAACCTGGCCCTTGCAAGTGACAAGAATGCAAACCTGGGGTTTTGGATATTCAGGACAAGGGTTGGTGCAGTTATGCAAACTGATGAAGCCATGTGCAGGGGAAGGGGACTGAGACAGAACAAAGTGAGAAACAGGGTGGTCTGAGAAGGGCTGGTCATGAGTAAACTGTTGCCAGTCAGTCGACTTGTCTGCCTGAAACCTGTGCCTGATCACTGCAGTCTTTTTTAATTACCTTTCTGTGCTATCTCACACTGTCCTGTGTCACTGTGTGAGTCCTGCAAGGACTAAGTGCCAGCTGCTGGTGAGAGGGGATATGGGACCAGCAACTGGAATCAGACCGGGGTTGTAGCTGTCCCAGGCCTGTGCTGTCTGCAGCCAGGGAGAGTAGGGGTCTCAGTGCCAGCCACAGGAGCAGGTGAGGGCCTCAGCCACCAAGGCAGGACCAGCATGTATCCCAAAATCCAGCTACTGGGAAAGACCAGTGTGAGTAAAGCAAGTGAGTGGCGCAGTGCCAGAAGCTGGAGCAAGACTGCGGGTCACAAGCCCATGCTGCTGGTGCCAGCTGTAAGGACAGGCAGAAGGTGACAGTAAGATCGCTTCAGTAGGATTACCTGATCAAGGACCTTGTCAAAAAGGACACTAAGAAAAAAAAAAAAAAAAAGAAAGGCAAGTATTTGCATCTTTCCTAAACCTGCTGTGCATGTGTAAAATTCAATAGCAGACTTGAAACTGAACTAGCCATTGAGTAGTAGGCCCTAGGTTCAGGCCTGGGTATGAGGCAGGCAGAGGGCATACACTGGTGTTCAGAGGGACCCACAAATGTGGAGTGTCCTTAGGAGGAGCATGTCAGTGTCTGCATCTGTTTGCTGGCAAGCATCAAGCTGGGCTGTCAGCAGGTAGAAGAGCAGTGAAGCAGCTAAGGGGACCCAGGATCCAGGCAGGGGATCAGACAGACAGAAGGACCATGCTGATACCTGAGCAACCCATGAATTTGCATGCACTTGTCACTCTAGAGAGAAGCAGGTGTGTGCTTTCACTGCTGAACTCCTGTCTTGACTTTGCTGAAGAGCAGGAGGGGAGCCTGCCTGCCTATACTCCTATTTTATGGGAATCCTACAAGTGCTGTTGAAGACAGGGCCTTGTTTATGGCAGTTTGTGTAGCTGCCCACATTAGAGTCCTTTGTGTGTCTGTGTGATAATGTGCTTAACTTCACTACTGGTTGAACCTGCAAATAGGAAAGAAGCAGAAAGGAGCTGCATCCATCAGTCTGGGATGGGGATCTGCAGGTCCCCAGACACGTGGGGCTGGGCTGCAGCACCTGAGCAGGTGGAATTCCTGATCCCAGAGCTCCTGGAGGATACAGCCACTGATAATGTACAGGTACAAAACAAATCCTGGCTTAAAACAGCTGCACATGAACACGTCCCAACCTTCAATCACAGGCAGTCCCACTGACGTGAAGTGTGGCTACCCCCCTGCAGAGGACATGCATGTAGCAACCAAAGGACTGGTGCTTCCGTCTCACTATCCCAGAACAGCGCAGCCAAGCATCTCCAACAGCTGTTTAGCCCAGGAGGTTCACCCACTGTCTACCATTGTGCTGCTGCCTACTGTTCTCTACTGGAATGAAACAAAAGCTAGTAGAGAAATGTGCTTATGCTGGGCTTTAAGTTTGCAGCAGACGCTGTTGGTCTGGTGACAATTGTTCACTATTTGCCAAACTTTGGAGTTTAAATAAGAACACCCCCCACCTGCCCAGGACTTTACAAATACGTTCTAGTTTCTAATGCCACTGATTAAACCATTCACCCTCTGCTGGTACTATGTTTGCATGCACAGCTTCAAAAACAGTACGATGCTTTTCTTGTAGAGTAAGAAAAAGCCAAACACTTGTCTCCAGTTATTTATGAAAGCACAGAAGCTAGAAAAAGAATCCTCTTTTCATGTTAATTTTGATGTATTTCATAAAGCCAAGAGATGATGCATTAAACTGGAAGCTAGTAGACCTCAGTTCCTACAGTGGCTTTAGTTTTCCATGTATGTCTTTATTAAGTTTTATTCTCCTACTGTGAGAATCAAGCATCTTGTTCTCTGTAACAGATGGGCTTGCCGAGGACCACAGAAAGGTGGCTCGATCCAGGCAATTCTTCATGTAGAGGAATACAGTGTAGTATAAGAGAGGCAAGCAATTTAGCAGACAGATGAGAGCTTAGCCTAATTTTTGCAAGATCTTTCACTGAATTCTGTATCATTGCTGCAAACTGCTCTGGCACCCCAGCCAGCTGGGTCACTCCAGATGAGCAATTTGGACACTGTGCTCATCTGTATGCCTGCTATACAAGCTCCTAGAAAGAATGCTTATGGGAATGCCAGGAATAGGTCCTAGGTTTGGACTTGCCAAAGACAGATGCCTACTTCTAAGCTGCTCATTCTAGATTCCTTGAAAGAGATTATGGAGAGATATACATATTTCTCAGAACTTATTAATTTTATTTTGAGGTAGTTACCTGGATAGGCAAGTAAAATCAGTCAAAAAAAGTACTCACTTCTTTTTGCTTAACATAAGGAGAGCCCATGATGACTGGATCAGAGGTACAGACCTACTTCATTGTACTGTAAAGTTCAGCAAGATGAATTCCCTACAGTCAAACTTATATGTTAATAAAAGGAACAGTTAAAAGATCAGAAAGTTAGAAAGCAAATCACATCCTGGGCTGCATCAAGAGAATTGTGGCCAGCAAGTCCAGGGAGGTAATTCTTTTCCTCATCTACTCCACTCTTGCAAGACCCCACCTGGAGTACTGTGTTCAGCTCTGACGTTCCCAGCATAAGACAGACATGGGCCTGTTGGAGCACATCTAGGGGATGGCCATAAAAATGATTAGAGGGCTGGAACACCTCCCCTATAAAGAATAGCTGAGAGAGTTGGGGTTGTTCAGCCTGGAGAAGAGAAGGCTCCAGGAGACCTCATCACAGCCTTCCAGTACTTAAAGGGGGCTGACAGGAAAGATGGGAAGGGACTCTGTGATTCTGTGACTCTTTATCAGTGAATGCAGAGATAGGATGAGGGGAAACAGTTTTAAACAGAAAGAGGGTAGATTTATGTTAGATATAAGGAAGAAATTCTTCACTGTGAGGATGGTAAGACACTGGAACAGGTTGCCCAGGGAAGTTGTGGACGCCCCCTCCCTGGAAGAGTTCAAGGCCAGGTTGGATGGGGCTCTGAGCAACCTGATCAAGTGGGAGGTGTCCCTGCCCATGGCAGGGGGGTTTCAACTAGACAATCCTCAAGGTCCTTTCTAATCCAAACCATCCTATGATTCTATAAGAAGTTCATCAGCTCTATTCCGTGAAGATGGTTTAATAGCTGCTAAACTGAGGGTGTAATTTTTCACAAGTGTGAATACACTGACAATGTTTAATGATTTAAGAAGTTTCCACTGAATAAATATATGGACAAAAATATATAGAAATAAGGTGCCCTCTAAGCAGCAGAAAAATAATTTTTATATAATATTGGAAAAAAAAAATACTGAAAATTATTGTTTCTAGGGTCAAAGTAAGTGACAAAGGTTCAGACACAACAGCAGAGGAGAGCTCACTATTCACAATTCTTGGCATGTCAAAAGAAAAAAAATTGTAAATGGAAAGTAAACAACATTGATTGAAATCATACTTTAATTAGCATGTGTCCACACACAAATCTATTCTTGTGTACCTTGTTGTCAGTCCTGACTGTAACTTTCAGCTGTGGAAGTACACGTTCCACTTCCAGATTCCACTCTGCTGCATCTGTTGTGGACTGCAAAATCTCTTCTTGTTTTGCAGTGTCGTTCATGTCCTGTGCAAAAAAATCACAAAGTTTACGTACAAAATAATCATTATGTGCAGTGAGCTGTTAGAAATTATGTTACGATGGCTTACAGTGTTCATATTCAGAAAAATATTTATATCTAGAATGATCTAGACTACAGACGCAACAGATTTCTTTAATGGCTTTGTTTGAATGAAAAGAGATTAGGAATGAAAATAAATATATCTTCTCATAATATTTAACATTGAAAAGAATGAAATGTACATCATAAGAAATTATAATGCATTCCAGAAATAGCAGGGAGAGAATTAAAATATATTCAAGAAACTAATATCATCTTTCCCT